ATAAAACCTGCAGGAGCACCAGAAAACGCAGAAATCTACTGAAATCTGCAGAAACTTCAGAAAACCTGCAGGAAATCAAAGAAAATCTGCAGAAACCCCAAAAAACAGGCAGAAAACGTGCAGAAATCCAATAAAATCTGCAGAAATCCCAGAAAAATTGTAAAAATGGCAGAAAACCTGCAGAAAATCTGCAGAAATCCACTAAAATCTGCAGAAACCCCCAGAAATCCACCAAAATCCACAGAAAACCGCAGAAAACGCAGAAATCCAATAAAATCTGAAAAAAACACAGAAAACTGGTAGAAAACCTGCAGAAAATCTGCAGAAATTCACTAAAATCCGCAAAAAACCCCAGAAATAGCAGAAATCCACCAAAATCCGCAGAAAACAGCAGAAAATGCAGAAATCCACCAAAATCTGCAGAAAAACCCATAAAACGCAGAAATCCAATAAAATCTGCAGAAAAACTCAGAAAACTGGTAGAAAACCTGCAGAAAACCTGCAGAAAATCTGCAGAAATTCACTAAAATCTGCAGAAAAACCCAGAAAACACAGAAATCTACCAAAATCCAAAGAAAAACCCAGAAAACTGGTAGAAAACCTGCAGAAAATCTGCAGAAATTCACTGAAATCCGGAGAAAATCCCAGAAAATCTGCAGAAATCCAATAAAATCTGCAGAAAAAACCCAGAAAACGCAGAAATCCATCCAAAAAAATCTGCAGAAAACCCCAGAAAATGCAGAAATCCACCAAAAAAATATGCAGAAAATGCAGAAATCCACCAAAATCCGCAGAAAAACCCAGAAATCCACCAAAATCCGCAGAAAATCCCAGAAAACTGGTAGAAAACCTGCAGAAAATCTGCAGAAATCCACCAAAAGCCGCAGAAAACCCCAGAAAATGCAGAAATCCACCCAAAAAATCTGAAAAAAATGCAGAAATCCACTAAAATCTGCAGAAAAACCCCAAAAACTGCCCCTCAAGCCCCCTCCTCATCCTCCTCCTCCTCCTCCAGGCAGCGGAGGCGCTTCCTCCTCCCCCGGGGCTGCGGATCTTCCTCCTCCTCCTCCTCCTCCTCCTCCTTTTCCTCGCCGGGGACTCCTGAGGACGGAGGGGACGGGGTTGGTGTCACNAACCCCAGAAAATGTGTGTAAAATTCCAGAAAATCTGCAGAAAAGGCAGAAAATTTGTAGAAAYYCCAGAAARTGYGTAGAAAATTCCAGAAAAYCTGCAGAAAAGGCAGAAAATTTGTAGAAACTCCAGAAAAAATGCAGAAACGTGTAGAAAATGTAGAGAAAATGTGCAGAAATTCAATAAAATCTGCAGAAATCCCAGAAAATCTATAGAAACCTCAGAAAAGGCAGAAATCCACTAAAAAATCTGCAGAAACGCAAAAAAAAATCCACAGAAACCACAGAAAATGTGTATCAAATCCAGTAAAATCTGTAAAAATCCAGTAAAACCTGCAGGAGCACCAGAAAACGCAGAAATCTACTGAAATCTGCAGAAACTTCAGAAAACATGTAGGAAATCAAAGAAAATCTGCAGAAAAGCCCAGAAAAATTGTAAAAACGCCAGAAAACCTGCAGAAAATCTGCAGAAATCCACTAAAATCTGCAGAAAAAACCAGAAAATGTGCAGGAAATGCAATAAAATTTGCAGAAACCACAAAAAACTGGCAGAAAATCTGCAGAAAACTTGCAGAAAACCTACAGGAAATCCACCAAAATCCGCAGAAAACCGCAGAAAATGCAGAAATCCATCCACCAAAATCCGCAGAAAACCCCAGAAAATGCAGAAATCCACCCAAAAAATATGCAGAAAACGCTAAAATCCACCAAAATCCGCAGAAGTCCCAAAAAACCTGGTAGAAAACCCGCAGCAAATCTGCAGAAATTCACTAAAATCCGCAGAAAAACCCCAGAAAATGCAGAAATCCATCCAAAAAATCTGCAGAAAATGCAGAAATCCACTAAAATCTGCAGAAAAACCCAGAAAATGTGCAGGAAATCCAATAAAATTTGCAGGAACCCCAAAAAACTGGCAGAAAACCTGCAGGAAATCCAAGAAAATCTGCAGAAACCCCAGAAAACCTGTAGAAAACCTGCAGAAAATCTCCAGAAATCCACTAAAATCCGCAGAAAAACCCAGAAAAATGCCCCTCAAGCCCCCTCCTCATCCTCCTCCTCCTCCTCCAGGCAGCGGAGGCGCTTCCTCCTCCCCCGGGGCTGCGGATCTTCATCCTCCTCCTCCTCCTCCTCCTTTTCCTCACCGGCGGCTCCTGAGGACGGAGGGGACGGGGTTGGTGTCACAAAAAGGGTCTGGGGGTGACATTTGGAGACCCCCGAGGGGCGGGACCCACCGGAGTTGGTGCCATCATCATCGTCATTGTCATTGTCATCGTCATCGGAGAGGTCCCGGCGTCGTTTGGAGGTGACAGGGACAGGGATGGGGACAGGGACGGGGTCCTCGCTGTGGGGGTGGCACAGCTCAGCCCCATATGGGGGGAAAGAAAGGGGGATCCCAAAGAAGGGAGAGGGGAAACCCCAAATTGGGGAGGGGAGGCTGCAAATTAGGGAGAGGGGAACCCCAAAGTAGGGAGGAGGGGATCCCCCAAAGTGGAGAAGGGAGACCCCAAATCAGGGAGAGAGGATCCCCAAATCCAGGAGAGGAACCCCCAAATCGGGGAAGGAAAACCCCAAATCAGAGAGGGGAACCCCAAACCAGGAAGGGGAACCCTAAAGCAGGGAGGGTAACCCCAAATCCAGGAGAGGAACCCCCAAATCAGGGGGGGAAAACCCCAAATCAGGAAGAGAAGATCTCCAAATTGGGGAGATGGGATCCCAAAATTGGGGAGGAGGGGAACCCCCAAATTGGGCAGGGGAGACCCCAAAGTAGGGAAGGGATTCCTAAACTGGGGAGAGAGAAACCCCCAAATCAGGGAGGGAAAACCCCAAATCAGGGAGGGGATCCCCAAATCTGAAAGGGAATCCCCCAAATCCAGGAGGGGATCCCCAAATCCGAGAGAGGATCCCCCAAATCCAGGAGGGACCCCGTTCTCACCTGTCCGAGTCGGACCCCGGCAGCGGCTCCTCTGTGGGGCAAAGGGGGAGGGGCTCAGGGCCGGCCCCACATTTGGGGGTCCCGCACCCCAAACCTCGCCCCTCACCTGAACAGGGGTCCTGGGGACACCCGGGGGGGTCCTGGGGACACTCTGAGGGTGGCACCGAGGGGACACTGCAGGCGATGGAGGCGGCGGCGCGACGGAGCTGCTGAGGGGTCAGCG